TTGTTGCGAGTTAAATTACTTATTTCATATTGTCCATTAGATATCTACATACATTCGAATGTAAGTTCCAAATAGCTCTGTAAGTGCTTCCCAGCAAGTTAATTCTATTGTGAACTTTTTTGTCTCTGTTGCATATGTTTAATGAAATGCATCCAATATGCATAATTTTTATGGTTTGGTGGAGGATGAACTTGGTGTTCCATGAATCAACAGACTGATGTGACTTCAACGTTTACATGCTTATCAATACTTTTGGTACTTGATGCACAATTAGGCAGTGGTATGCATATCATTAAATTTTTGCTGAAATACCTATACACACATATAGCCATACTTTTACATACATTTTATTTGTTCTTCAACATTTGAGCTCACATTTATGTTTAATGCTTGTATCTGATATCCTTTGTTGCACGGGCACTCCCGTCTTAGAAATCAGCTGATTGATGAGCATAGGAGATAATTATGCAAAATCTTCTGTTCTTCATTAAATGCAACGCAAAAGAATGCTAGAAAGGGGTTTGGGGGGGGGGGGGGTGATCCCATGATGAATAGAAAGGTTAGTTCTACATAGAACCTCACTTGAATCACCCCTGTATCTGCCGTCAGTGTAATCAGAAGACACTGAATATCGATAATTGTTGTTTGAATGGTGTAGAATTATATCTTATATGGATTACCTTGAATGCTTCCATAGATTTTGGTTGTCAAAGCTGGCACCATAAAGTATGTGGAAAAATTAAATTTTCCTTGCATTGGGAATTGAAATATAATATATTTCTAACTGATATTACTAAAATCTTAACTTGTATGAAAACTGATGGCAAGAGCCTGAGTTTTTTAGTGCCAGAATATTTTCTCCTGTGCAAGATATCCTTTTAATTACCTATAGTTTACTGGTCTGCTGGATTATTTATAAACAAAATTTATGAGAGAACAATGTTACTATGTAAGTTCTAAGCAACAAAATGTGCAAAATTGCACAAAATGTTATGTACGTGAATTCATTTTTGGGTAGATTCTTGTCTCATTATTCAGTTGTAGGATTTTGATGTTATGCACTATTGAGGCAGTCCTGTGTGTGTCACAGCCAAGCTTTTCATTTCAAGTTCTTTTTATTTTTATAGGTTGTTTTTTTCTGTTTCCTGCCCCTTGTCTCTGAAAGTCACAATGCATATTGTTATTGTTTTTTTTAATTCATTTTTTATTCCTTTTGAATATATAACTTTGGAAGGAAGAGAGAAACAATCGTCGAAAGATAGACCGTCCCGAAGATGAAAGAAAGTAAGTAGTTGCTTCGTTGTTTTTTTCTTGAACTCTTTTTTTGGGAATCCAGGCATGTTAATAACAACATATTTCTTATTGACTACTACTTTTCCTTCCATTTCCTGTTTAAGGTCAAAAGAACGAAGTGTTGACCGTGATGGGGCATCAAGTCGGGAGCGTGATCGAGGTAGAGAGGATAGAAATGGTAGTCGAGATCGGGATGACCGTCGGAACCGGGACTATGACCGACATCGTGATAGAGATCGTCGTGAACGAGATAGAGAATCAGATCGTTCTCGCAGTTATCACTCAAGGAGCCGACAAAGGTCACGATCTCGTTCACGGGATCGTACTAGAGATTATGATAGATGCAGGTAACAGCAAAATATTTAAATGGTTGATACTGTTTAATGACTTATTTCTTATGGAACTGCATTATGAGCATAATTGGGCATCTTAGACTATTCTTGTTATTTGAAATCTCTACCTTTAGAATGTAAATATCTGCGTATATGTTATTGTGGGAATCAGATGACTTAACTTTAGAATCAAATGGTTCAACCTATATTGGGGAGTGTATATATTGTCGGAAGTTTAGACCTAGTAAACTTGATGATACTTTGGAAGCAGAAGTTGGGAGCATTACAGGGCTTGTTGATTTTCATATTAAAAGCCGGATCTGTTTTGGACATTAGGACTTCGAATGTAAAGTGAATTACTTGTTGAAATTTGTAACTGAGATTGTCCCTGATGAATCAGAGAGAAGCACATTGGTATAATACTTTAGAATAATGAGATTTGAAATACAGTTATCCTTGAATCAATTTTTAGTCGCACAATAAACTGAATAGAGGGTAAATTATCCAAAACTAACAAATGAAAAGAGTTTATTTTGTAAATATCTTTGGTTTTATAAGGTACACCGGTGAAGCTATGTACTTACGAAAATGATTGATTGGCTTTTTTAATGGAGAACAAAATAGATCTGGAGATGGTTCTCATTGATTTTTTTTTTTTTTTGGGGGGGGGGATTATGATGGAGTGGGGTGGAGAAGATTATGGGTGGGATTTAGAAAGGGAAACAAAAGTCTAGTAGTTATATTTATGTTGTTGAGGACACACATAATAGAATATTAACTAGCTTAAATATACCTGAATTAGGCGTTATTGTTCCGTGTCATGAACTTGCATCACCTATCAAGGCATCAACACATTTGGGATTAGCATACCTGGAGCATAGAGGATTATTTACTGTTGTACTTATTATTTGTTGGCGTTTTCAATAGTTGATTCAAATCAGAAAGGGATACACGCACTGGATGTCAGTGGTCGTCCTGTGAAATATCTGCCTACATCGAGTTCATGACACCATGAAAATGATCTTTAAATAGTAAAAAATGTATGTGGATGAAAATAGTGATGGTTTAGGGATTTTGATCAATTTTATATTGTACGGCCAGCGATTTTGATCAGAGTATCAGGGGTAGTAAGAAACTTGTCCAGAAAATGATTGTAGTTACCTATGTGAATATTAAGATTGACAAGTAGAGGGATTGAAGTATATGACAGTAATGATGCCACTTGACCAAACTGAATGGAGAACAGATTCATAAAGTCTACCCTACTAAGGAAATTACTTTGTTGCGTTAATATTTTCTTTCCTTTTTTCCCCTTGTTTCACATTATTTTTTGTATATCAGCTAATTTTGCATCGACAAATTTGTCTCTTAAAATGATTTGTGCATATTTCAAAGTTTTAACCATCTCCAAATTCTGATGTTTTTTTTTACCTTCTTGTAGGCGACGTTGAACATCGATATTGAGCTCTTTGGACTCAAGGCATGCGTGAAGTGCAGATCTGTATGTGCTGGGTGGTCTTTACTACTGCTGGAGGAAATTTGTGTCAGAGAAATACTATAAGCCTAGAAGTGCCTTTATTTTGAACTAGTTGCAAATGTCACGTTATTGAGTACAAGTTATCCCTGGATTTACTCAGGTAAACCCTTTGAACTAACACCGCAGGATAGTTCTAGGACTAGGACTTGGTTGTAACAGTGAATAGATTTAAATGCGTTGAAGAAAAATTAGAGAGTCCATCGTGCTTCCATTATTACTCTCGCAACTATTGCCTTATCAAATCGTGCCAAAAAAATTTGAAAGTTTTTTTTTTTGGGTTTTTTTTTTTTTTGGGGGGGGGGATTATGATGGAGTGGGGTGGAGAAGATTATGGGTGGGATTTAGAAAGGGAAACAAAAGTCTAGTAGTTATATTTATGTTGTTGAGGACACACATAATAGAATATTAACTAGCTTAAATATACCTGAATTAGGCGTTATTGTTCCGTGTCATGAACTTGCATCACCTATCAAGGCATCAACACATTTGGGATTAGCATACCTGGAGCATAGAGGATTATTTACTGTTGTACTTATTATTTGTTGGCGTTTTCAATAGTTGATTCAAATCAGAAAGGGATACACGCACTGGATGTCAGTGGTCGTCCTGTGAAATATCTGCCTACATCGAGTTCATGACACCATGAAAATGATCTTTAAATAGTAAAAAATGTATGTGGATGAAAATAGTGATGGTTTAGGGATTTTGATCAATTTTATATTGTACGGCCAGCGATTTTGATCAGAGTATCAGGGGTAGTAAGAAACTTGTCCAGAAAATGATTGTAGTTACCTATGTGAATATTAAGATTGACAAGTAGAGGGATTGAAGTATATGACAGTAATGATGCCACTTGACCAAACTGAATGGAGAACAGATTCATAAAGTCTACCCTACTAAGGAAATTACTTTGTTGCGTTAATATTTTCTTTCCTTTTTTCCCCTTGTTTCACATTATTTTTTGTATATCAGCTAATTTTGCATCGACAAATTTGTCTCTTAAAATGATTTGTGCATATTTCAAAGTTTTAACCATCTCCAAATTCTGATGTTTTTTTTTACCTTCTTGTAGGCGACGTTGAACATCGATATTGAGCTCTTTGGACTCAAGGCATGCGTGAAGTGCAGATCTGTATGTGCTGGGTGGTCTTTACTACTGCTGGAGGAAATTTGTGTCAGAGAAATACTATAAGCCTAGAAGTGCCTTTATTTTGAACTAGTTGCAAATGTCACGTTATTGAGTACAAGTTATCCCTGGATTTACTCAGGTAAACCCTTTGAACTAACACCGCAGGATAGTTCTAGGACTAGGACTTGGTTGTAACAGTGAATAGATTTAAATGCGTTGAAGAAAAATTAGAGAGTCCATCGTGCTTCCATTATTACTCTCGCAACTATTGCCTTATCAAATCGTGCCATGTTTAAGTTCATTTATTCTCATGTCATGCTGGATTGCGCAGCGCACGTCCTTTCAGTTTTTGTTTTGTTCTTGTAGATGGGAGTAGTATTGGGTTTCAAGCGTTGAAATGGTGACTGACATCGACTCTTGATGATACCCATTCTAGGATTGCAATGTGCTTTTTGATAATTTATTGATGTTATTCTAATAGTGAGGTTGCTTAGGTTTTTCTCTGCAAAATTTTTTGAGTTACTTACAACCCGGTAACCTGTGGTGTGATGAAATTACATGGATAATCCTAAGGTTTGCGTATTTACGTGGGTAACTCTGAGGCTAATGATTGAGATTATATAGGTAACTCTGATGAAAAGCCTTAGGGTTGCTCAGGGTTATCAGTTTAATCTCAGTTAGAAATCTCAGGGTTAATCTACGTAGATTCGTAAACCCTAGGGGCACCATTGTAATTACACTAAACCACAGGATAGCGGGATGTAAATAATCCAAAATTTTGAATCATTTTCTCAAATTTGTGGAAATCGTTACAGTTTCTATCAGGGTTGGCTTATTTGGTTCCTGCGGCATCTTGCAAAACCCTTTCAATCTTCGAAATGATTGTCTAAAAATTTTGGGGCGTAAAAACCAAGTAAGCTCAAACACTCTTTGGGGGTGTTTGTGTCACCAAAAAATTTGGCATTTGGTATGGAATATAAATTTTGGGATTAAAAAGTGAGTTTTTTTTTATTTTGGGATTCCATATATGATATTTGTTTTAAGAATTTTTTTAGAATATTGAATCCTAAAAGTGCAAAAAGTGTTTAATTTTTAGAATTTGCCGAATCCTCTCAATTGGAGAGTATTTGACAAATCCTAATTTTATCTTTTTGTGGGAGGTAATCTCACCAAGATAACATATTCATCATATTATAAAATTTTAGTATTTGGTAATGCTACAATTTGAGCTTGAAACAAATAAAATATTACAAATTGTAATATCCCAAATCCCAAAATATTAATGAAACAAATAACATTTTAGAAATCTCAACCCATAACAAAACCACCTATGGATTTCAAATCCCATGGTGAAATACATATCTTAAAATTATAGGGTTTGAAACAAACACCCCCTTAGTTGAGATGGATTTGGGAACTCCTTCGGGGACTTGCGCCTCTTGCTACCTTTGTCTTCATGAGCTTCTTGATTTTGTTATGAACTCCATTTGTTAGGATATTGTTTAAGTAGAATATGCCGTTGCATGAAAGTTAAAAGTCAGTCAAACTGGTAAACTTCGGATGGCATTTTACCGATATTGAATCCGATAGGTAAGCCTGGACAATCTGAGCAAGATGACAATTGACAAATGATAAACCTTGGAAATAGAGTTGAGCTAGATTACTATTTATAATATACAAGATGTTGATGTTATCAATCCAAAACTGTTGCATGAGATCTACCATATATCAACTATTGAGAAATAAAATTTTCAAAGGATTTTGACATATTTTCCCATTTATCATACGTATCAAAACTACTTTTTGAAATTTTCATAAGGTTGCCTAGTTTTTATCCCCTTAATACATGGTTTGAAATGCATTTGAAATCTTTTAAAATTTTGTTTAAATATAGCTCATGTGTATAAGATCATATCCAACGGTTGGCTTTTCAATGTTGAAATCCCAATTTTAAATTTGGATTGATTGCATCCACATGATGCCGTAAACAATAATAGCCTAGCTCAAATCAGAAAATAGTACCTGATATCTGATTTTTAAAACCAAAAAAACGGAAGGAAAAAAAAAAATCCAGAACGAAGAAAGGTACAGCAAACAAATATTTAAAGCTAAAGCAAAGAATTTAGCCAATAATTTGCAAACTAAATCCATTGTTGTTCATAATTCCCTATAGGTGAGCGATCTTGTTACTATAATTAAGCAAACTACTCAAACTAATCAAGCCATAGTGCCAACTATTGTTATCAATTATACGCTGAATCTCCTTCTAATAATCATTAGTAAATTATATGAAGATTTGACGTATCATTCTCTTTGCTCATAATACTTCAAATGTACATGTTATATGACATGCTACAAGCTCAACAGAAACAACACAACCGCCGTAACCGTCACCGGCAGCAGAAACCTAACCTTTGCCCTACTCAAAGCTCCAGATTTTACCGGTAAACGATCTGGCAATGCACACTCCTCTCCATTGAAATAGACCTTGGTAGGAAATCCATCCCCCTTCGAAATATCAATCCCCGGTGTCTCTTTCTTTGTAAAAGATATCACGGTCTGTTGTTTACCGGGAACCCTGAACTCTGATTTTGGCTTACTGTCTTCTCCGTCAACCTCTGGCATGAGATAGTCAAGGCCCGGCAGCCCATGGAAAAATAGGGTTTTATGGATTTTGGGCAGTTTTGTTCCGTTGAATGAGTAGACGTTTTCGTAGCCATCGTAAGCCTTTGGGATTCTTACAGCAGTGAACCAGTCCTTGAATGTGTAGTCTCCCCAGTTGAAGAGAGTAATCCTTGCTGACCATCCTGGTGAATTTTTTTTTTTTTTTTTGATTAGGATACTGTGATAGTGATACATGTGTGTTTGAGACTATATGCTGATTTTAATCTGAAACTTTGTGAACGCCTGAAATCAAATATGTTGAAGTAATGAAGCATATATATATTTAGTTGGCTGTGTTCACCTTTGTTTCTGTTAAAATATATATTTACGGGTTATTTCGATATAGAACGCCTGTAGTATTCTTATTTCGAACTTACTACCCCAGTAGTTTCGTTGTATGCTTTGGCGAGAGCATACACATACCAAGTGCAATCAGTATCTGTATTTATCGGTGTTGCCTCATGTGTCCTACCATCAACACAACTTTACAAAAGATTTCCAATTCTTTTGCTTAATTGAAGTAAAATGCGACGAAAAATACCTTTACGATAATCAGCTTGGATGTGCCAGTTGATACTAACGCCGCAATTATCAGGACAAGGTTGTTTCTTAGGGAAGTCGAGGTGTTTGAGCTCAGCCCAAGCCTTTGCCTTCTTTGTCCGGTTCCCAGCGGGAATCAAGAGAGCGTTTGCAGGGATTAGAAGAGACCTTGCGTTCTGATTGCAGGTATCTTCTTCAGAGCACCCACAGGCACAAGTACTGCATGGGACTGCAGATTCATTGAAGAAGGCTGAGAAAGATACACAACAGCCCGATTTCTTCGCTTTGGGACTGGTTATGTTGCATACTATCTGATCGTTACAGTTCATAAGACACATTCAAACATGAGAAAAACATCGAAAAAGATGGAAAAAAGGATTAATTACATTCAGCTATTTTAAGGCAATGTTGATCGTTATCGCAGTTTCTTTGGCTGTTTCTACAGGAAGTTCATGCGCACAATTATATACACAACATATCATACAAAGTCTTATCTCTTCAGCCAAACTCTTCCTTCTATTGATCTCATTAATATTATAAGATTTTCTATATAATTCAAAGTTCTTGTGTGGGATCCAAAGAAAGAGTACGCGTTGCTAGATTGAAATAATTGTAAACATTTGAAGTGGATTCAAAATTATGTTGACGCTTCGGATATGCGGGAAGCAAACCTTGTAAATACGCCTGACTCATCCTGAAATACTCGTAAATAGCAATTTCGATGGAGATTATCGTGACATATTAGAAGTGAAAATGCACGCATTATGATCGTACAATAATCAAGAACCACTCACCTGCCAGCTAGCGATGGCGTAAGAATGCGACAACAACCCACTCGGATCAGGAAACTCTGTCGGGCTAACCCTCCGCGGAGGCCCACATGTGTAATGCGGGTTCAACACCCCGTTAATCTTCCAGTTCTGCGGCGGTGACAGCGCAGTTCTATTCATATCTGGCGGTATCTTGAACACGTTCAACTGAAATATCGACTGTGACAAGCTTGTATTCGCACTCATCACAGGCGGCAACAGCGTCCCGTTCTTGCAACAGTTTGGCAAATTCCCCATCTTGTCATCCTTCTCCTTCTCCGGTGGCAAATCGGTAATTACAGGCTTTCGCTCGCAGTTCATGATGTTTGAGAAATCGAAATCCGTGTAATACTTGCCTTGCTCGCCGTAGAGACAATCAGATCCGTCCTTTTTGAAGGTGTAAGCGCCTCGCATGGAGTTGATGAACTCGCCGCGCATCCACTCCCAGGTGAGGTTCCAGTTGTCGAGGCGGCTGAGGGGGCTGAGATTGTCGATAGTCACTTGGGCCTGATAGTTGTTGCCGTAGGTTGTCAGGACGTCGTACATCATATTCAGGTCGCCGAACTGGCGGGGGAGGAATTTTACGGGTGGGACCTTCTTCTTTTTGATTTTTGGGTCTCTGATGCAGCATGCGCTCATGAATCCACCTGCATTTTGCAAAATCCCACTTTTTCATGACCTGATATTGTTCTATTGTATTCCCTTCTGCTCTGGTTGTCTACTTGGCAATAAATCCCACTTTTTCATGGGGGGAAAAAACAACAAAACCAGAGTAGGATTCAAATAATATCATTGATCACATTCCCCATACCTTTGTTAGTAGCCTTTGGACACTTAAACCCGTCATTAACCAGCTCAAGCTTTTTAGGCATAGGCACAGCATTCCCCTTGAGCCCAAACTGAGTCCCAACAATGTCAATCTGCACCTGAATCTGATTCAAATCCCCAGCAACGTCAATCGAGCTCGGCAAATCCATCTGCGGATACCCCATGAAAGTAGTCCCATTCTCAGCGTTCACCGGAAAATCCGATCCATCAACCACGACCGCGTTTCCCGCCGAAATAAGAATCTCTTTATGCTGAAAACCTACAAAAAGCCTCCATGCTTTGAGCTCGGTCGTCATCGCGTTTAGAACAGTCGCGCTCGCCTTGAACGCGTAGGCTTGGGCCGACGCATTCTTGACGTGCGGGTACTCCTTGGTTCGCCCGTTGAACGTGTAGGAGATGTAGACCCCATCGCACGTGTCGAGCCCGGGTGGGGGCGGGGATTCGATGGTGTCAGAGTCTTGGGAGAGGGAAGAGGAGATCAGGAAGAAGAAGAATGCCCCGAAGAGAAGCGAGATTCTCGACGGCGGCATTCTTCTTGGTTTTGTGAAGGGGAGGCTCTCTTTAGAGCAAGAGAGGGGAGGAGAGGAGCATGGGGTTTGTTTAATTTGTGTTGCTCTTTTTGAATGTTGTTAATTTGGTGGATTTTGAGGGGAGTTTTTGTATTTGAGGGTGGTTGGTTGGTTGTTTTTGGGGATGGAAATTTTAGGAAAGGGGTTTGAAAATGGAAAAGAATAAACTGGGGAGAGAGAGAGGAGGAAAATGAGGAGAAAGGAGAGGGCTTGGTCAGAAGAAATCTCATCCTCTTAAGTTACACCGAGGAAAAAGGGCGGGGGTAGGGGGAGAGAGTGACAACGGTCTTTGTATAAATAGAGGAAAGTAATGTATATTCTAATAAGGTGAGTTTCAACCACCTTACATATTTTCTGGTAAAATTTCATTTGGAATCCCCAAAACGCCCTTAAAAACATACATGCCGAGGAGCTAAGTTTGGTTAAGAAGGCATGCCACGTGTCTTTTAATTTACATTCTGTTGCTACCGCCGTAGAACAGTTGAAATCTCATTGCATCGACGACCTATTTGCTTTAATAGTTTAGCAATGAAAGCATGCGTGCATTTCATCGAACAGATCGTTCACGGTACACAGACACCAATGGTTTTACCGAAAAAGATGAACATTATAGCGTGCCTTTCTTCCGACATGCACAATCTCATTCACGAGTGAAAAAAAAATCTCATTCAAGGTGCTGGGCAAATTCATAAGTACAAACATAGAAGGATTATGATTAAATCTTTGATTCAAGGAAACATAAAGAATACATGGCCGATGTTGCATGAACAAATGAAATCAATTTGTGCCGCGTCCCTTGAAAGAAAAATGAAAGATGGAACAAGTTCACTCATCTCCGAGGCCTGGTACGTACTCCAAACTAACGTCAAAAACAACAGGGCTGTTTGGGGCGACCCTCGGCCTTCCTGGTGCAGAAGTGAGGCCTTTTGGAAATGCTAGCTGTTGATATTTATACATAAAAAACGAACAAGGACAAAAAATGTTTTAAGTTCATGTTGGGACTTCTGAAGAATGTCCTGTGTACTGATTTCTGAGTTACAAAAGGGAAGTGTGGCTAAACTAATAAAGATCATGGACTAAGCCTGTGGATTTATGATAGAAGAGGTCTTTTTCGGGGTTCATTGCAGACAGACCTCCCCTACTATTGCCCAATTGTGGATGGACCCCATTTAGTTTTATCGTTGCTGATAGACCCCCGAGTGATATTTTTTTAGTCTTTTACCCCCCGTAGAGTTTTCAAAAACAAATTTCTCTTTCTCCGAGAGTAAAGGAGTAGATAAATTCACTCAGGGATCAGCAAGAATAGAACTGTAGGGGCCCCATCTATAATTAGGCAATAGTATAAGGGGTCTATACGCAATCAACCCTTTTTTTATGCTAAGTTAATATGAGTAGAAAAGTAGGGAACTTACTGAGCCTGGTATGTATAGGCGGCGTATTCCTCCAACTTTCATGCTCAGGATTCCTTCATCAAGTCCTTTAACTACCTGTTTTAACTAGGTTATAAGTGAAAGAAAGAAGATGCAGAATTGTAACTATACAAACAGTTTTTAATTTACCTGACCAGCACCGACACGGAAAAGATAAGGCAGACCTTTCTCCAACGAACTGAAACACATAAGACAGTACTAAGTAGAGAGAGAGAGAGAATATGATAAACAAACAGAAGCAATCAAAATTTTTAGGATTTCATATCAAAACCTTATACATAGTTGTATTTTATTCAAGTGTAAAATATACTAAAGAAGACCACATCTAGATGCAGTTATAACATATAATCACCAGGCCTAATTGGAAATTTGTAAATGCTCGAATTGATATTAAAGAAAGCTATTAGTTTACTCTTGAACAATGTAAAGTTGCTTCAGCTATATGCTATATTGCAGTTGATGGTGCATAGATTAGGTCTAGGCTTCTGGCTCTCATGGCTTCAAAAAGTTTGTTATGTCTAAATGCACTAGCGGCCTATGCATGAATCGATTTTAGTAGGTTGATCCGAAAAGAAGGTTCTACCGTTATTAACAAGTATCGGTAGTATTCATGGTGTAAACTGGATTTGATTTCCTATCGCAAAGCTCTATATGAGACGGCAATACATATCATTACTGACTGATACTCCAAATCTTAATTATATGTCACTTATGTGGCCAGGCCTCCTAATTACCGATTACTTAAGGTAATTAGACCTTACAAAACTTGAAGGAATCGATTCTTTCAAAACCAAAACTAGTACGATGCAAAAACAGTTCTGAGCATAATAATTACTTTTGGTTAAAGTTTTTCACCTGTCAAAAATTTGCCCGGATGGCACCATTGCGACATAATTCGCAGCAACCTGTCATGAAAGTACACAGATGTCATTATTTTCACAAGATTAATTCCTTAATCACAAACTCAATATTTATGATAATGACACAATTCAAATAAATAAATAAAAAAGAAACCACAAGAAAATGTGTTGTTTCATATTTCATATAAACACAACCATCTGCTGGTGCAACTCAAATTACAGAGTTATACAATTAAGTTTTTAACCTAAAAGTTAAAATTGCCAGTTTCAGGATGGAATACATCATAATTATTTATCAGCGAAAGGTTGAAAAAAGAGTTTGAATGAAATTACAAAATGAAGCAACAGAGCGAGTAGCTTTGTGTCAGTGGCTAAGAAAATACCTGAAAACCAACAGGTGGACTTGGACCTTCACCGACTTTTATATCCTTGTACTGCAGACCAGATTCTGTAGTAACCATAGGAACCTAGGCAGACCAAAGAAACGAAATTATAAGCAAGCTTAAGTCCAGAGCAAAGAAACAAAACTATCACCAAATCTGTACTCAGTCTACAGGGATTGCGTGACAAAAAACTTCCAGATTATAGCCTAACCACAGAAATGTTATTTTAACTTCGAATCTCAGAATAAGTACAGTTTAATTCAATGATTTGAAAACTGGAACGTAAACAAGTTTAAAGGAATAAAAAACATCACAAATCTTAAAAAGAAAATCTACTTCCAGCTTTAAAAACTCCTGAGTGTCACATTGCATTCTAAATCGACATGCACTAAACACCTATTCTGCTTTCTGTCTCTGTAAATTTAGCAGATGTGAAACAGATGAAGCTGATCAGTGCTCATTTTTAGGGAGCGTAGTTTTAATCTGAAAGTTCAGCTTATTGAAAAATATTAACAAAATCACAGGTCTTGCATGGATATTGGAAGTAAGGATTGCTTGTCTCATGTTTTCCTTGTGGTACATAGTATTGATATTTTGAGATAGATACCACAAATTGATTAAGGAGAACTCTATATATATATATATATATATATATGTAATATATATATAATTAATTATATATATATATAATATATAAAAATATATATATATATATATATATATATATATTATATATGTATTATATATATATATATTGTATATATAGTATATTATGGGTAATGTTTTCCATAAGGTGACACGGCTTAGATTCCACCTAAGGACGGACGGCCTAAAATCACATTTCATTGCCTCTAAAAATTTTTTTTACTGATCCGCGTCCGTTGAAATTGATGCTAACACGTTCTCCAACCCAAACACATCAATTTTGGGGTGAAACCCGTCATGTTCTTGAGCCCGCTCGTTGAAGACCAGTGGCAAAAAGTTCTATTGCATTCGAACACTTAAAAATTACGGTGAGTGGATGAAGGGTCAAAACATGACGGGTTTACCCCAAAATTAGTGTGTTGGGTTTAAGAACATGAAGATTCAAGTTCAACGGAGCGGATGCGCAAAATTTTTTTGAGGAATGATGTGATTTTAGGCCGGCGTCTTAGGCTGGAACTCTAATGTGTCACCTTAAGGCAATATATATAATATATGCTATATATTATACTAAATATATATTATATATATATATATATATATATATATATATACATTGTCAAAGGAGGGAAATCCGCTGCCCTTTTCGGCGTGTCGCTTGACAAGGATGCCCAATTTAGGGGATTTCCCTCTTGAACAATAGGATATGATATATATATATTATTATAATATATATATATATATATATATAGTATATATATATATACTATATATATTAGATTTAATGAGTATGCATTGTCATAGGAGGGCGATTTCCTGCCCATTGACGCCTCTAAAATCACATGATTGAGCGATATTATGGATAGATGCCGCTCCGTTGAACTTGATGCTACATATTCATAAAACCCAACACGACCGAAGTTTGGGGTGAACCACCGTCGTCAGTTTGACCCTTCATACACTGCGTATCAACTTTTACAGGTTTTGCAATGAATAGACTTTTCTACATGGCTCGATGGAGAGTCAAACGACGACGGAATTCACCCAAACTTGTGTGTTTGGGCTTTTAGAATATGTAGAATCAAGTTCGAACGGCAGTCGGATCAATTCATAATGTGCGGGGCTCAAATCATGTGATTTTAGAGGCGTGCATATGCAGGTAAATCCCCTCCTATGACAAAGATAACCCATTAATCTATATATAATAATATATATATATATATATATATATATATAGTATATATATACTTGTTGCAAAAGTGTATATAATATATATACTATATATATATATATATATATATATATATATATATTATAATATATATATAACTTGTTTTGGCAAATCTTTGGCAATGTCTCTACTTCCTAGTACCGCAAGTCCTTTTGATTGACGAAATAAATTGCATTTTTCAATGTACACGACATAAGCATGGGTTTTAACCATCCAATTTGAGGGACAAACAGGCAGTAATCAAATGATTATTTCCTAATTGTGTGAGATAGACATTTGATTCCCTCATACTTTTAATTCTTGTGTAGTTGGTTTTTATATTTTAACTACTTAGAGAATGTATAGAAAAGTAGGTGAAGTATTTGGCAGTGTTCTATAAACATTAATGGTCAGGGGTTGTTTGATTTCTGAATGCGGTATGATTATGTTGTATAGATGGATGTAAGGATATGCAAGTAAGGATTCTTACCCTAATAATGTATGTAAACATAGCATATATGGATGTCAACAAACCATATCTGAAGTTCAACATGAAAGGCAATGTCATATTTGACGACAAGAACTCCTACATAGGTAGAGTTCTTTAGTCTGACATCGGGTAGGATAGTAAAACAATCTATGTTTACATTGTATATAAAGATTATCATATCAATAAAGAAAGATATCCATTTCTCCATAATTGCTTTGCATTTATCATGGTATGAGAGCCACTCAATCAACTCTCTCCTCAAATCTCAGCCCTACAATTTCAAAATTCCGCTTGTGCGGACCCTCACGTGCATCACGCAACAAATCTGCGATCACGAAATCTCGTACTTACGAAATTTCTGTGATCATGAGATGCCCGTGATCATCCCCGACCTTCTCCCATACCTAGCAAACCCTAACCCTAGCTGCCAACCTTAGCCACCCCTAACCCACCAGCCCACCATCCTAATTCCCTGCTCGGCGTCCGTCCACCGCTAGCTGCTGCTTGATCGATAAGTCGTCCACACCACTCGCACACTGCTCAAGCTAGTGCCACCATAATACCGCACTGCTTGCACTGTCGTACCGCACCTCTCGACTAATTCTGCAACATCACTCAATCACTCGAGCTAGAATCGTATCACCGCTTGCAAGCTCGACTACTCAAGCCAGATCCCGCATCATCATTCAACCACTTGAGCCAACTCCGCACCATCGCTCGCAGAACAGAGCCAAATCCGCACCACCGCACTACACCGTTCGACCACTCGAGCTAGATCCACACCACATAACTACACCGCTCGACCAATCGAGCCAAAATTACACTACCAACATCTCAACCCTTAGCACCAAACCCAAACCTAAAAACAAGCTCACCTCGGTCGACCTAGCATCAAGGACAGCTCGCTAGCGACCTCACATGTTGTCCTCAACGGTACCCATCATCGACTGATCCGACACCCCGACGCTATGTGCAAGTCCCCATCGATAAACAACTCATCTAAGGTATCCATGGTCCATTCGACCAATCACACCTTATCTGATAAACATGTTAACATAGGAAGTGCACTTCCACCAACAATCCATTGACGTTAAACTCAATAGTAACAACTACCACCTCTGGTCCTACTCTCTATGAGTCATCCTTCACAGCCATGGCCTCTAGGGACACATCGACGACACCTCAAAACCCCCAACTCGACCATCTACTACCAGAGATCCTACCAAGGATGTCGTTGTCCTCTCCTCATACGAGTCGACCCTAGTGACTTGGACTCTTGCAGAATATCGAGATATCACAGCAATCGTGCAATCCATCTCACCATCCATCCGAGTTCAACTTGTATGGTTCGACCCTGCCATATCCCTTTTGGACTACCTACAATGATTCTACATGTATTGGGTGTTCCAACTATACCAGGAGATCTCCACATTCACACAGGGTGATCGGTTGATCCGCGAGTTCTACACCCACATCTTCGATCTCTAGAAACATCTTGCGGCCCTTAAAACGCCTCTTCCCGACCCGTCTTCCAGGACCATTTACCTTAACAGCAGATATCGGCAATGCCTCTTCTAGTTCTTGATGAAAATCCGTTCATAGCCAACTCATCCATAGGTTACCTAGACCCACTCTAGAGACGACTGGCACAGAGCTATAGGCTAAGGAGACACGCCTTCATCTAACCACTCTTCCTATCAGCATCGCCTCCTGGCCACCCCGCCTCCTGCCCACCACCCTTTGATTGCTATGCATTTATCAACGTAAGAGACCCCAGTCTAATCTATGAAATGAAGCTTTTCAGTGCCATCCACCCCGCCTCCTGCCCACCACCCCATGATTGCTATGCATTTATCAACGTAAGAGACCCCAGTCTAATCTATGAAATGAAGCTTTTCAGTGCCATGTTCCTTCCTATAACTGATAATGTGAATTATTATGAACCTATGTTTTCTTACAATGTTAAACCAATTTGTGGTTTGTACGGGTCTTACTTTGTGATGCAACAAGCATTCCTACTATACTCTTTCAACACTTATATGAGAATAAGATATATACCATAAAACACCGAGACTTGTCTCCTATACTTCTAGGTCAAATAATAAGTTTGCTAAAAAAATAACAAAAAGAATACATTCATCTAAATTAATTTAGCTCGATGAGTACATTACTCAACGTTTATCAACCCCAAACATATTAAAGAAGAAACATGGCAGTCTTCAATTAGGAACAATCACATGTATAAGGATATGTAATCTCACCATACATTTTCAAGCTCCTTTTCACATGCGGCATCACAAAGTCTCGGCTTCTCCTCTGGAGGAAGCCCGGCTCCCTTGGCACGAAGCGGGTTCAACCCTATAGTAGATACCACCAGACCAAATCCAACCGCATTCCTTCGACTAGTTAATGTGCATGTATCTCTGTATTGTCCTGTCTTACTTGCTTTGGTCCTATGCTCTGAAGATGAACAGTGTAGTTCGAAATTTCGGATCTTATGTCTGAATAGTACAGTGTGCCTGCAATTTTCCCTCTTACTGAAGCCTGAACTTGCAAAAAGTAATTCATTTTGTAAATGAAAGCGTGCATATGCATTCATTTAGAGAACAGAGTTTGTATATTAGATGCTTAGATCATGGCCTTCTTCACCTAAGGGTTTAATTTCCCTATCGATAGTTTGTCATTACATGGAAGATTTTACAAATTGAAGACAATTTTGCATACAAATATTCTAGTAATTTACATTAAATCCCAAAACTTTACAGTGTTTTTGTAGTAAACCCCGAATAATTTCAAAACCGCACTAAACCCCCAATATCTTTTGGGTAAATTACACTACACAGCCAATAACTTTCGAAATGCTTTTTTATGTTGTTTTTTGGTTCGAATTTAAGGGGATTATATGCAAAGAAATGGGGGTTTTCTGAAATTCCAAAAGGTATTGGGGGTTTATTGCGATTTTGAAAGTTTTCTGGGGTAATTTCTATTGAAGGTTATGGATGGAAGCGCAAAGAAATGATTTTTTTTCCCTATGAAAAAAGAATAACAAAAATCAACATGAGATATAATAACATGAATTCCAAAAGGAATGCATCAAAATATAAAAAAAAACCCCATTCCCTGAAATACCCATTTCCTAGAAGTAAGAGGATAATGATCGTAACAAGACAAATTCCTTAACATTTGTCCTCAGGCTGCTCAGTGTGACATGGGAAAATGCTATTCAGATAAGAAAATGCTAATCTTTACGCCTAAAAATACCAAGTTTCCCAT